TTTCCCTAGTTGCTTACAGGCCGCATAAGAGCCCTGGACCTTATGTTTGACACCCCTGCTCTAGCTTGTTATGTGCTCTAGAAGCTATTACCATCACCCCCATGCAGCTGTATCTCGAAAAGCCTACTTCATGCAAGCAAATATCATAAAGCCCTGAGAATTTTCTAACATACACGCTTCTGTTCTATTTGTTGTTTACACCCATGTCTGTCTGTGGTAAAGCCGAATATCAAAGGCTATTCCTTCATAAGGATATAATCCCAAATTTAACCCAAATCAGGGGTGTCCCCAACCTTTTCCAGCCTCTGGGCACCTTTGGAATTCTGACGCACAGGCACCAAAATGGCTGCTACAAAACAGCTGCAACACAAGGTGAAACCAGCCACAAAAATGGGTGCTGCAGCTTACCTTCAGTCACACAGTAAAGAGCCTCTGCCAATTAAATTTCCAGTGGCCACTTAGAAGCCTTTCCAGGCAAAAGCCCCACCTGCCCCTGCCCACTTTGTGAAAATACTTGGTGGGGACCAGGAAAGGTGTCAGCAGGCACCACACTGGGGGGCCCTGACCTAAATGTGAGGGAGGGGCGAAAAGTGTTCTAGTTTTTTTAATCTAATACACAAGTCTTAAAAACAAGGACTTTCTTGTACAGTTCCTAGACCGTTAGAGTACTTTTATATTAAGATTATTTAATGCAGGGCTTTTTTTGTAGAAAAAGTCCAGCAGGAACTCATTAGCATAATAGGCCACACCCCAACAGCACATCTCATCAGCCTAGTAGGCCACACCCCATGTTACTAGAAGTGTGGTCATCCAGCCACACCAACCTTTTGCTTCTTATTCTGTTTACTTTGTTGTCAAAACCCTGGGCTTTTTTTGTAGAAGGAACTTCTTTGCATGTTAGGCCACACACCCCTAATGTAGCCAATCCTAATGAGTTTCTGCTGTTAGGTGTGGCCTATTATGCTAATGAGTTCCTGCTGGGCGTGGCCAACTCAGGCGCCAGCCGGAACTCTGTTCCTGTGCGTTCCTGCCCAAAAATAGCCCTGATTTAATGAATTATATTACATTTAAAAAATCCACTCACATTAAAACCATTAAGCAACTATGTAGAGATGCAGTCAAGGAAGAAATGTGCTTTAATTAGCGTCACTGTGATCAACCATTTCTGCCCCAGGTAAGAACATCACTATTATGTCTAAAAGGGATTGGAATGATTTTCCTTAAACACACCCTCTAATTTTAAACTTCAAGAAGTTCTAGTCCTAAACGTGTTGGGCCCAGTCCAAAGATCCTCATGCTCAAAGTTGTGCTGGTGTTTTGGCTTTGATAGCAGCAGTGCATTTTGTAGGGAGTGAAAACAAAGGTTCAGTTCCTTCCTAGCCTCTCTTTTGCAACAACTGATTAAACACTGAGTGCTGAAAGAATTCACCACACAGTCAACACTGTGTGTTTGCAGTCCCACTTGACAGATGAGAACAAGACACCCATTCTAGATGAACTTATTCAAACAAGGTTCCCACTCCATCAAGGATGGTCTTACAGACAGACAGACAGACACAGACACACACACACACACACGGAGCAATTGTAGTAAGGCTAATTTGTTTCAATGGACTCCCACTTAATGGCCATGATCCAGTATCTGTGCACAAAACTGGTTCCAACCTGTCATACTTGGCAACAGAAGCCCTATATCAAGAGGGGAGGGAGAAACATGGATCACAGTGTCTAAGTTTTCAGCATGTACCATTTTTTAAATTTATTTATTTTATGTATTGTTGAATTTATACCCCGCCCTCCCCAGATGGGCTCAGGGCAGCTAACAGATGGGCACATATGCCAAAATTCCACCAGTAAAAACAGAATAAAACAAGCAATAAAATGACCATTCCTATAAAATACCAGTGCTCTAGAGGTCAACAAATAACAGATGGGGTCACACATAACAAAGTGGTCCCAGAGCGTCACGATAGACTCCAGGTAGTACAACAATCCGTCCTTCCTCCCAGGGCTATCTCATTCCCCGATGACACCCACTCCATTTAGTGGTGGTGATACGGTGATGGTATGGTGATGGTGGTGGCTCCTACTCAAAAGCCTGGCAAAAGAGCTCCGTCTTACAGGCCCTGCGGAACTGCGCCAAGTCCCGCAGGGCCCGGATCTCCTCCGGGAGCTCGTTCCACCAGGTAGGAGCCGCCACTGAAAACGCCCTGGCCCTGGTGACAGCGAATGTAATAACTTTGGGACCTGGGGTTACCAATCGATGTTGAGTCCCTGACCGTAGTGCCCTTGGGGGAACATATGGGGAAAGGCGGTCCCTCAGGTATGCTGGACCCTGGCCATATAAGGCTTTAAAGGTAAGAACCAGCACTTTGAAACGAATCCAGTACGCTATTGGCAGCCAGTGCAGCGCTTTCAGGACAGGCATGATATGGTCCTGCCTAGTGAGACCCATCAGCAGCCTGGCCGCCACATTCTGCACTAGCTGCAGCTTCCGGACTTGCGACAAAGGCAGCCCCATGTAGAGAGTGTTACAGTAGTCTAGCCTTGCGGTGACCGTCGCATGGATCACCGTGGCCAGGTCCTCACAGCTAAGGTAGGGGACCAACTGCTGAGTCAGCCGGAGATGGTAAAAGGCCGCCCTGGCAGTGGCTGCCACCTGGGCCTCCATCGTTAAAGAGGAGTCCAGGCGCACCCCCAAACTCCTAACCTCCGATGCTGGTCGGGAGAGGGAGCCCCAGGCCTGCGCCGATCCGACTCAGGCCCAGGACCTCCGTATTTGCCGGGTTTAGTTTCAACCGGCTCAGCCTGAGCCAACCAGCCACAGCTTGTAACGCCCAGTGCAGGTCATCGGGAGTGGAGTCCGACCGGTCGCCTAGCATCAGATAGAGCTGGGTGTCATCAACATATTGATGGCAACCCAGCCCACAACTCCGGGCAATCTGGGCAAGGGGGCGCATGTAGATGTTAAATAACATCGGGGACAACACGGGCCCCCGAGGCACCCCACACTCAAGGGGATGCCTCTGGGACTGCTGGTCCCCTATCGCCACCCTTTGTCCCCGACCCTGGAGAAAAGAGGCAAACCATTGAAGGGCTAGCCCCTGAATCCCCACGTCGGTGAGGCAGTGGGACAGCAGCTGATAGTCGACCATATCGAACGCGGCCGACAGATCTAACAACAGCAGTGCCACCACACCTCCTCGATCCAGATGCCTTCGGAGATCGTCAGTCAGGGCGACCAAAGCCGACTCAGTCCCATGGCCAGGGTGAAAACCAGACTGGAAGGGATATAACGGACTGTTAAACGTTTCTCCTTTTAACATTTTAATGATTTTAAGGTTATATATTTTTAAAGCTGAAAGCTAATTTGCTTGTATTTAATGAATATGTATAATTTTGATAAATGGTCTTTGACCGCAAATAAACATCATTCATATTAATGGAAGGTATTTCCACTGACAGAACAAAATTCCCCTCCCTGCTTCTTCCTGTTGCTTCTCATTGATCACCCCAAAATTCTGTTCCTGGGGAATAGAAGTTAGAGAACGTGGAGCAAACAGAGGTCTGAAGAACAAAGGGGGGAAACTGGTGAAAACTGCTGTGCCTTCCATTAGCGGAAGGTAGTGTTGGGACCCAGCCTTGAGCTTAGAAACTAACCTGTCTTAATTGTGTCCACCAACTTGTCATTTTTCTCTCCTTCAAGTAATTTCTGGTAGTATCCAGGGTTTTGTTCCATGTGAGCCTGGGCACCACTCACAACCATCCAGACTACTGCGCGATGCTCATTTGGAATGCCTTTTCTGATGTAGCGTTTCACTGCAATAAAGCACAATTTATATTCTTTGATGCAAGTTTTTCAAAAACCATGAAAAGAGAGGACAGGAAAGGATCCAAGGAGAAGCCTGGCAGATCACAGAAGAAGCCTGGCAGATCGCAGACCCCAAGAGATCAGAAATGCAGAATTAACTCTTGAAATGATGTCCTAAGAAGTAAAAGTTGTTTTCTATCCGTCACATAACTGCCAATGCGGTATAGCAATTATAGTGTTAGACTAGGAGACCTGGGTTCAAATTTGCACTCATGGCATGGAAACTCACTGAGTGGCCATGGGTCAGTAAATCTCTCTCAGCCTAAACTACCTCACAGGGTTGTTGTGAGGATAAAACAGAAGAGAAGAGAATGATGTAAACCACTTTGGATCCTGACTGGGGAGAAAGGTAGATTATAATAACAAACCACCACTGCTGCAGACAGGGATAGCCACGTTTTCTGAGAATGGTCTATCTTAGTTAAACATCAAGGATGTGAACCTATCTTAAGGAAGCTCATGAAAACAGGAAGGGAGAGTTGTTCTGCTTCAGTGACATCACTGGCACTAGGCAGAAATTGTATTTTCTTGGACAATATGAATGTCGGAAATTTTTCTACCAAATCAATTTGGAAAAGAAACACAGGAGTCCTACAACTAAACACAAAATGGTCAGGGACCAACATATCTACAGGACCGCCTCTCCTAGTATACCCCCCAAACAGCATTATGCTGTGGGGAGAAGAACCTACTGGTGATCCGTGGCCCAAAAAATTTTCGGCTGTCCTCAGCCAGAGCCAAGGCTTTTTTTGGCCCTGGCGGAACTCTCTGCCAAATGACATTCATGCCCTGCGGGACCTAATGCAGTTCCGCAGGGCTTGTAAGGCAAAGATGTTCTGCCAGGCCTACGGTTGAGCACAGCAACGGTTTCACCATCAAGCCTGGCACTCCCATCTCTCTCCTTTCCCTGTGGGGTAAGGTTACAATTTAGCCTAACTTTCAGCATCATCTGAAATTGTTCTGTATTTCATTGTTTTGTTTTGTTTTAATCCGTAATTGAGGCTCCTGGAATTGTAGTATACCTCCCTGAACCCTGTGCACAGGGGAAGGGAAGCCTATAAATCAATGCCTAAATAAACCTGTGTACTTACTGCACTGTGATATCAGAGTGTGGAAAAACCACGGCAAAAAGTTTACTTCTTTTCAAATATTTATTTTTTAATGTACGCCCACAGGGACTCAAGGCAGATTATGCAGAGTAAATCAGGACAATCAACAAAATGGGACATGCAATAAACAATGCGCTAGGATTATAGGCGTCCGAAACCAACCAGAAATCCAAAAGAACAGAACTGAAGCATAGCATAAGTATTAACATGATACCCTAAGTGGTGCAAAAACTACATAACAGGATCCCGTGTACAGTAAGCTATACGTCACAGTAGACCATATACACAGGGTGCAAGTTCTCAGGAGCCAGCATGTTCTTTATCAGGGTGCTCTTTCCTACACTCTTATTGCAAACTCGGTTGAACTAGGCTGCCTGTATACACACACACACGAGGTTTGCTGTGAAAGCAGAGGCAGATATTTTGCCCCCTGTACTTTTCAGTATCTACAACGGAAGTGCTGGGTGAGGACATCTTGGACTTAAGGTCTAACACATTCCGGATGGGGCTGTACTATCCTTGAACAAGGTAAAGGGTTCCCTTGCTCGAAAGCCAGTTGAATCCGACTCTAGGGTTGCGGTGCTCATCTCCATTTCCAAGCCAAATAGCCAGCACTGTCCGAAGACGTTTCCGTGGTCATGTGGCCGACATGACTAAACACTAAGGCGCACGGAACGCTGTTACCTTCCCACCGAAGCAGTACCTATTTATCTACTTGCAATTTCTTGCTTTTGAACTGCTAGGTTGGCAGGAGCTGGAACCAGAGACGGGAGCTCACTCCGTCATGCGGCACTCGGGTCTCGAACCCCTGAACTACTGACCTTCCAGCCTGCAGTTCAGCATCTTAACCACTTGAGCCACCGCAGCTCCTCCTTGAACAAACAGACCTGTAATTTGGAGGTGCTCTTGGCTCCAGGCCTACCACTGAATAAGCAGGTGACAGCTGTGGCCAAGGAGTGTCTTTTACAGCTCTGACCAATTAACCAGCCGCGGCATTTTCTGGGCAGAAACGATCTGACCACAGTGGTGCATACCCTGACTACATCTAGATTAACCTACTGCAATGCACTATGTGTGGGGATATCCTCGAAAAGAGTTTGGCACCAAGTGAAGTTTCCAAAGTTTGTAACCAAGACATTGACTGGAATGGGCAAGAGACCCCATCACTGCAGTCCTCCTGGCCCACCTACACAATCTGTTTCCTGGTAGAATTCAAGATGCTGGTGTTGACCTTTAATACCCTATATGGCTTGAGACCAGCACAGCTGAAAGGCAGCTTATTCCCTTCCAAACTTAGTAAAGGTAAAGGTTCCCTTGCTCGAAAGCCAGTTGAATCCGACTCTAGGAATGCAGTGCTCATCTCCGTTTCAAAGCCGAAGAGCCAGCGCTGTCCGAAGACATTTCCGTGGTCATGTGGCCGGCATGACTAAACACCAAGGCACACGGAACACTGTTTCCTTCCCACTGAAGTGGTATCTATTTATCTACTTGCAATTTCTTGCTTTTGAACTGCTAGGTTGGCAGGAGCTGGAACTAGAGACGGGAGCTCACCCCCTCATGCGGCACACTCGAGTCTCGAACTGCTGAACTACTGACCTTCCACAGCCTGCAGTTCAGCGTCTTAACCACTTGAGCCACCGCAGCTCCTTCTTCCAAACTTACCAAACCACTAAAATCATCTTCCAAGGCTCTGCTTCAGATGCCCCAAACTTCTAAGCTTACATGGATGGCAACTTGGGAGAGGGCCTTTGCAGTTGCGGCACTAAAGCTCTGAAACTCTCTCCCCAGAGAGACTCACCTTTACCTTTGTTTACTTCTAGCAGGTGAAAAGTTTTTTTGTTTGTTTTATCTGGCATTCCCTCAATGATCCTTCCTTTCTGCCCTGTTTTGATCACTGTTTTTTACGTATGTATATTTTAACCTTTACCTTTATGTGCATTTTAGGTTGATTTAAAAATGTTTTAATGATGTATTTTTGTTTGGCTTTAATAGTTTTTAAGATGTATTTTTGTTATATATGTTTTTATTTGTTAGCTGCCTTGAAGGCCCTGATGAGGGCAGAAAGGTGGGATATAAATTTTATAAATGAATACTAAGGAATTATAAGAAATACAACATCACAATTTTGTCAGTTTTCATTACACTTCCATTAGGGCCAGCTAGGAATGCCACGGTCCACCACTCCCAGGACCCACCTCTCCACTGCTGATAAAGCTGGCCGGTGGGAGGGGGGACTTACTGCAAAAAGGGAATCTCACCCGGCATTTCAGTGATGTTCCTAATGTGACTTCAACGTGACCCAAAAGTGATGTAGGTACATTGGAGACGTAATGGTGACGCTCTGGCTTTTGTGCAAAACCTCTATGGTAGAAGCTAATTTGACCACAGAGTTTTTGCCAAAAAAAACCAGAGTGTCACCCCAATGTCTCCAATGTGCCTAACATCACTTCTAGCTCACAATGGAAGTCACATCAGTGACATCGCTGAAACAACAAATGAGACTCCCTGTTCCTGATAAGCCCACACCCCATCCCCCGCCAGTCCCCTGGAAGGACCCGACAACCCAAAGTGCTTCACAATTCCAACGCAAATTAAAAATTAGTTACAGATTTACTGCAAGTATTCCTTCAAGCAACTGGCATTTAATAAGATTAGTGTGCATCTGTTAAGAGTATGCATTCCCCTCCGGATATTATAACATCTGGATATTTGTATCTAAGAAAAACACCACATCACATTTGATTTTTGTCCCTATAATGTCTCTCTCGGCTTTACAGCTGACCCCCCCCCGTCCCATCACAGCTATTGATTCTGAAAGTAAAGCCAGTGTGAAACCGACAGTTAAATCAGACGCTGCCAGCAGAGATTGCCTGATGACTTTGGTGGCCCGTACAAGGGGAAAGCACAGCCCTGCAGCTTGACATACTCATTATTCCTCCACTATGCTGTCCTTATGACAGAGAACAGCCACAAGCCTCCAGCAAAGGGGGGGAAAAATCAGTTGTGGAGACCATGCATCTATTTCCAGATACCACCAGGAACAGAGAATTTCCCAAGGCATAACTTCATATCAAAAGAAGTCCATTTTTCTTTTTCCATCACCATGCAGGGCAAGAAATACAAATAGTCTCCCAGAACTTACACTGAAAGTTGCAGACAGCCAGGCTCGTTCAAGTTTAAAATCTTATCATCGAGAACACTTGCTAACTGAATGCAAACTGAATGTTTAGACAACAGCTAGCATGATAAGATTAGCACAGTGCTGGGAAAAATCTAAGGCATTTGGGTATCCAGGATGTTTTTCTGGCATTTAGAAAGCTGAGACATTTATTCAGACCGGCATAAGCCTGATTTTTAAAAGAGAGATACAGACACCAAAGACTCTTTGAATGTCAGTATCAGGCGTGGTTCAGCATTTCCTGGTTTGGCTCCCCCTCCTACCTTATTGCCTCATGATAAACAACCAATGATCTACAATTATTGCTTCCCTAATCAGTTTCACATGTGCACTATACTTCAGGACTGGCTGTCATTAATGTTCAAGCATTAAGTAGAAATAGTCAGACAAGCAGAGAGAGAGAGGAATTTGCTTCTCTTCACTGACAAATTCCTCCGTTTCCCATTCAACCCCATGTGAGGGCAAACAGCGGCGGAAACAGGTAATTTAATTTGGTTTTAACACTGAACTTTTGTCCAACAAATACCTCAAACCAACAGAACTGTGAGTAAACTTAAAGAGATGATACAGAAGCACCGGCCACATTTGAACCAGATGCACTCCAGCAAGCAAAGTTTGCTTTGAGCAACTCAGATGACAAACTCTCAGGCTTTTATAATTCACAGGATGTGGGGGTGGGGGGGTGGAAGATGCCGCTGCAAGGGAAATGTAGAAAGCCACCACATCAATCCTTCCAGCCACAGAAAATAAGGAGACAAACGGGTATTAAAACATGATTTAAGATTGGGTATGAAGGACGTTTCGGGAGGAAAATACATATCTCCTCAACTAACAACCAGGGTGGTCTTATGGATTCCAGTGCACTAGGCAAAAGAAGTCAAGGATGCCTCACCCCACTCTGAACAGGAATAAAGCACTGAACTTTCGCAATCCATGTCCCTTCAAAAACACACCAGTTTGTGTTCCAAATCTGCTTTATTTTCCACCATCATTTTCTATCATTCCCATCAGCCATAGGGATCCAACCAGGGGGGAGGGGTTAGGCAATTGCCCAGGCTGCCCCATAGGTAAGACCACCTCTGTTGAGAACATGGATGTCACATAGGAGGAACATATAGCTGCCAGAATTGCATGAATTAAAAACAGTACATATCCAACCACTTGAACTGATATACTAGGGTGGAAAGGGAAAGTTACATTGCCTACCCACTGCCCGCATTTCTAGAAAGAGGCCTGGATATACATGATCAAGGGGTAAACCAAAGGCTGAAGGTGCTTAAAGGAGGAGACTGACAATGAATATCCTCCCATTACCTTGAAACAAAGCAGCACCAGGGTCAGTACCTTACTAGGACCAAATTAAATGCAAGCAATTAAAAGCCAGCATCAACAGAAGAAGAAAAACGTTACGTCTACAAGAACTGGAAGTGTAAGCTAACCTAAAGGGTGAATGTAGGTGATCTTCCTACTTCAACTTTACCTTCATCATAGTCCATTTAAGAAACAATTAATGTGTACCTGTCAGAACCCACAGGTAACAACAAAGTACACGCATTCAGGAACGGTTATACTTTTATTGCAAAGCTATAGATGCAGTAACACAGGCACTGTTAAGAATGGCAGCAACCCATAGAACCTAATAGGATATAGGGTATTCATATGCAAAAAAAAAAACACCCCATGGCATGGGCCAATTAGATACCCTCCTGCATGCGGAACAAGCTAGGAAACCGTTAGGTGGCTAAAGCTGGGAATCAGGAGTCTCTCACGGTACATAGGATACTTCCAGACAACACAACCTCCTCGTGCACATCTGTAGAGATAAGCGTTTCAGCACAGGCAGAACAGCATGGATAGGAATGCAATAGCAATTAACCAGACACAGAATGAACTCCCCAACCCCCATGACACTTTCCTATTGAGTAGACTTGTTTTGGATTGCTTTTTCTTTCAGCCTGAATTCAGCTTTCTAATGATTTGCATTGTACCTCACTGATGGTCTAATGATTTGCATTGTGAGAAACTAGGTTTCCAAGTGTGGCATGTATCAGAAAGCAAACAAAGATTTCCTACCCACAGCTCTTTAGTGTATAGGCTTTGCAACAAACAGCAGCAAACAGCTAAAGTTAGTTTCCTACAAGGACACTATGTAGGAATGAAACAAAGTCACCAATGGTCACTGCCAAATTCACCATAACTCTTCACCAGCTCTATTAATTTAGTCAGATTTCTGGCAGGGGAAAATAATGGCGATGCTTATATGCAGATATACATACTACAGGACTGGGTTTTTTTGCCAATAAACTGATATTCTCAGTAAAGTTTATGCCTAGTTTCCTTTCATCTGGACAGAGCTGATACTCAAACTGAGCTGTTTTTATCAAAATACTACTAGTTTCAAAAGCAGAATAAATAGTAAGCCAGTTTAGGTAACAGAGTCCTCAACTTTTTCAAGAAAAGACTCTAAATGCAGGGCACTAACTCACCTATTTGGAGAGGCAATAACTACTACTACAGACAGTAATGGTGTAGAGAGCCAGTTTGGTGTAGTGGTTAAGTGCGTGGACTCTAATCTGGGAGAACCGGGTTTGATTCCCCACTCCTCCACTTGCACCTGCTGGATGACCTTGGGCAAGCCATAGTTCTGGCACAGCTGTCCTTGAAAAAGAGCAGTCTCTGTCAGAGCTCTCTCAGCCCCACCTACCTCACGGGGTGTCTGTTGTGGGGAGGGGAAAGGAGAGGAGTTTGTAAGCCGCTCTGAGACTCCTTTGGGTAGTGAAGGGCAGGGTATAAATCCAATCTCTTCTCTTCTTCTTCTTCGAATAGAGTGCCATTTCAGGTTTTCACTTTTAGTAAAACATGTCTGAGGTTAATTGGGGGAATCATCCCATCTTGTGGCCACATTCTTAGAAAAATGGGCAGTGTTGTGGAAACAGAGGAAAAGAAAAAAAATGAAGCAGAAAGAAAACCTTGTGGGAATGAAAGACCCTCAAAGTCTACAAAACCTCCAGGATAACTGACAGGAAAATTATTAAACACTTGAAGAAACTGCTTGGCATACACATTCATACAGAGTATAAAAAATATTATCCTTCACCATTAGCCATACAAAAAGTGTAGACATACAGATGCAGAATGGCAAAGAGGGCACATTCAGATTTGCCACAGAGACAAGGTTGCCCATCAATACAGTATGCATTAATCACAGAAGCTCTCTAAAAAACATCAGGTATTTTCCAACAGGTCTATATTATAACAGAACGGTTCAGAGAGCTGTTTTAATAAAGGGAAAGGACTGTGAACTACACTAGTGTGTACGGTACATACTATTTGTGGCTGTATGCATTATCCTGCTATGTAGTTTCTGTGTCTAACTCGTCAATAATGATGCTTTGTTTCGGATTTCTGAAATCCTAATCCTATTGCATTGCTTACTGGATGTCCCACCCTGTTGAATGCATTCACTTACACTATGTAGTCATCCTTGCTTCAGGGAGAAAGGGGGACTATAAATATAAAGAATATAAATAAATAAAACCCCATAATTCATGCAAATGAATCTTACCTTTTAAACTTTTTGGTAAGCCATTATTTCCCTTTAAAAGTTTGGACCACTTAGTTGCTCTTCTGGTGAGTATCACTAGATAGCCGGAAAAGAATTCTTCGTACCTTGTATAGTCAAAGTCAGCTGGCCTTTCAAAGCCATATGGATCCACCCTACAAATATAAGAAAATTATTTCATAGTTACTGCATGTACCTAACCTTATGTTACTTTTTCAGAAATGAAGACTGGAGTAAAATACTGATAATACCAAATGATGATTAAAAATGATAAACCTGATAAAATTACTAGAAGTTTAAAAGGGAATTCTGTTGTTGTTTTTAAGTTCCAGTTACCATTGGTTTGACCCCAATATCTCTCCTTATATATAATTGAATAGTGGGTGCCAAAGTTCTAATTCTAAAATGCACTCCCTTAGTGTACGGCTGATGGCACTGCTCCTCAGCATATATCGCCACCAATCAGAAGGCAAAGCCCGGGTCCCGCCCACACCACAACTGCTGCGACAACCTGGTCTTTTGCATATGGAAGCTGATTGGACTTCACTCCATTCCACACCTCAAACTCCCCCCCCCCGCAAGGCAGTTGGAATGTCAGTTGCATATGGAATCTGCTGTATTCTGGTGGTGTGCAGGTCCCAGATTCATATTTTAAAAGCAGACTGACACTGTTTGCCCAAAGCCAAAGCACTCTCCCAGAGCCTCTTTCTAGATCCCGTTGTATTTATTTCCACAACGGGCCTTATTTCTAGTTTTAAAATAAATACATAAGTGATCTTGGAATAGGAGAATCATCAATCCATGACAATACTTTCTAATATTTGTGTACGAGTGCAAATGATAGCATTGTGAAGCCCCCAGCTTTAGAGGCAGTATGACTCTAAATACCAATTTCAGGGGCTGGGGGGCAAACACTGGAGGTGAGGTATTAGCTTTCATGTCCAGATGAATGCTTTCTGGGAATATTGGTTAGCCACTACTGGATGTAGGATGTTATTGGACAGATGAACAATTTCGTCTGATCGAGTAGGGTTCACGTTTTTATGTTCACAGCTGCCCCTACAAATTATAGTATTCCAGTTTAGTAAGTAATACTGCAAACAAGGTCACATGAGAGCTGGTGACTAACAGCATGAGCTGAGAAACCATCTCATTAGATGGGCTTAGGTAAGTCACTATGTTTTATCCTTGGCCATCTCAGGTTGCAAGATCTACCTTATAGGTCTTTCATTCTAGGAATGCTCATTAAGATGCTAGACAAACACTAAGTATTGTTATATAAGTGGGACATTAATTAGACCACTTATAATGTGTGTCCTCTTTACATTTGCCGTGATTTTAATCCCAAAATATTTTGTTCTCAAATCAGAATTTGGTACAAATCAGAGCTATGAAACATTTCCAGACATTGTAACTTTGAGCTGCCCATGTTATTCATTCACACACAAGGAATTCCTGGGTATTTTGGTACCTTGCTTACTAGAGAAGGCCCTTCTCACATCACTGTGGGTTTTCTGTTAAGTTATGAACTCCGTCCAGCTCTGTATAGTAATATTTGTTCTCATTTTTTTTGCATGTTGCCACTAAAAAGGCAATGGATCAGTGAGAAACACACTTTTCTTTTAGCAGCTGCTTTGCTCCTTGAACATGTGGGGCAAACCAGAAAATGGAAAATCATAGTATGTGTAATTTCAAAGGCCACCTCTCTTTAATAATGAACTGAAAGAGAAATGGTCTGTATAGTCTACAGTCCACTGATACAAATACTTAAGTACCACTGGTTGTGCAGGGGATTTCTGAAGTGCTGGGCTCTAGGCATATTAGAATTGACAGACTAAGAAAAACAAAACCAAAGCTGTAGTGTGTGCATGTATTCCAGATCTATATGCTTGGTATCCTGGAGAGAAGCATCAGACTACAAACAACTTTTTGTACACCCAGAAGTACACCCAGAGTAAAAGCGATTTAGTCCAACTGATACACAGGTAAAGGTAAAGGTTCCCTTGCTCGAAAGCCAGTCGAGTCCGACTCTAGGGTTGCGGTGCTCATCTCCGTTTCAAAGCCGAAGAGCCAGCGCTGTCCGAAGACGTTTCCGTGGTCATGTGGCCGGCATGACTAAACAAGGCACACGGAATGCTGTTACCTTCCCACTGAAGTGGTACCTATTTATCTACTTGCAATTTCTTGCTTTCGAACTGCTAGGTTGGCAGGAGCTGGAACTAGAGGCTCACTGCGTCATGCGGCACTTCGGGTCTCGAACCGCTGAACTACTGACCTTCCACAGCCTGCAGTTCAGCGTCCTAACCACTTGAGCCACCGCATACATACAGCAATGCTAAAAAGCTTTTCCTGGATGGTGTAATTTAAGGCTGCAAAAAGGGAATTGTATGTTTCAGTACTTCTCCATGGAAAAAATCTCCACACAAATAGAAAAACAACATTTCAAGGATTGCCTAGGCTTCTTTCTGACATCTGCCTTTTGGAATAGAATGGAAGAGACTTGGGGGAGGGCAAAGGGCATTCAAGAGCACCAACCTCCACAAGTAGTCTGAAATGGCTCCACCCAGAAAAAACTCTAACACTTGCATATGTAGGATGCATGTTTTGCTGCAAGTGTAAAGTGAGCCCCATCACCTGGTGACATGCACTAGAACAAAGGATAGAGAATTAGCTACTGCCTGGTTATGAAGATGGAAATAAATACTGTCAGCATACTTGATGTCTTATTTGTCATCTGTCTGTAGAGATGATACTGATGACTCCTTGGAATCTGTAAATAATCCTTAACTTCTGTCTAGACAACATCCAACCTCTTCATGACCTCTCATCTCTTCTGGCTATTATATACCTGTTTCATATGTCTGATGTATAAAGTTTACCTGTTTATTAAATCAATACAAGGGTGTGCAAGTAGTTGTCATAGATACAGTCAGTTAATGAATTATTTTGCACATGTTAAGGCAAATCTAAATAGGTGACTCATATGTTTGTAAACCTCTTCTTTCCTTTCCCAGGATGCATCCTAAACACACCTACTAACACTTGGAAGTGAACACAGTCTGGTGCAGGTGCAGTAGAGCAGTTAATTGGTCACAGGAGGAAAATTTCTGAAGAGTTAACATTGCAAAAAAAAAAAGTATTCCAGCATTTCCAACAATACTGGAACTCCAGCACTTCAGAAGTTCTGTTTTACTATAGAAACAACCAAGAGGAAATTTTAACTACTGAAGTAAAACTACTTTAAGTTTATGAGTCTACAATAAGGAAGTTCTGCCACTTTTAATGCAACTTTCATTTTAAGTGTGTAAGATTGCATGCTATTAATTCAATGGCAACCAACCATGCAATGAAAAAATTACACCTGTTAAATAAAGGAGAGAAAATGTGACAAGTGGACCTATAAGAAGTCTAGAAAAGTTAGTCTGTTTTTTTTTAATGTTTATTCAGTAGAATCATCTAACCGAATAAAAAATGCCAAGACATATATGCTTTACAGAGCAGTGCACATTAATTCCCAACGACATAAGGAGACCTGAGGGGGGGCCATGCACTGGAACCAGTTGTCAATTAACGGGGATTTCAAGCGCGTGCCAAAGTGCCCATCGGAAGAAGCCACCCAAAGGCAGCCTCCTAGTGACGAGGCGGCGCCCTGACACTCTTCTGGAGGACTGACCCCGAGGGTCAACGGGTGCCCCCGCCGCTTTCCTCCTCGCCTCATGCCAGTCCCCCTTCCCTGCCGCCTCTGCCTGTGGTGAATGAAGGCGCCCCGGGCCGAAGCCCCCGAGGGAGCCGACGCTGGCCTTTCAAAGCCATATGGATCCACCCTGTGGACGTCGCTGGCGCGTCCTTCTTGCCGAGCCCGCCGCTCCTCCTCGCCCTCCATGGGGAAGGAGTCCCCGGGATTCCTCCAGCACAGAATGGTCGACCCCGCGGCGGGCCTCGTGGCTCGGCGCTACCCCACGGGGAGCTGCGGCTGCTTCGCCCCCCTCCACGGCTCCGAAGCAGGGAAAGTGCGGTCGCGCGGCACTTCCACGCTGGGAAGGGGGGCGGCGAACACCAGTCCGGGCTCCGAAGTTCGGCGGCGGCGGCGGCGTTGCCCTTCAGGGGCGGCTGCTGCTGCCGTTCCCGGGTGCCAGCGCGCGCAGAGAGGCGAAGGGGAGGCGGCGGCGGCGGCGCTGGGCTTGCCAGGGTGGCGTCCTTCCCATGCCAGGCGCCCTAGCTCACGCGGCCCCCTCTCGTCCCCGCGGAACGCTGCTGCCTCGGCGGGTCCGCGCCAGGGCTGCCTTCTCCAGCTGCTTGCCTCCCGCCTGGAGCCCGGCACCCGGGTGCGTCTCCTGGAGGAAGGAGAGCCCCACCGCAAACTTCTCGCCAGGCAGGACAACTTGTGGGAATGGCGGCGAGGAAGAAGCCTCCGCTCCCCCGCCTGCCTGCCTGCCCGTCTCGACTCTTCCCAAGACAACCTGCTGCTGCTGCTCCCTCCCTCTTTCCTTCCCTGGCCCCGCGCCTCTGACCTGCGCGTGCACTTCCCCAGCCGGCTGAGACGAAGGAGAGGGGGAGCCTCCCCATATTCCTCCACTGATTATTCAGCTGGCAGCCAGGAAGGAAGGCACGCGCCAGGGGCTGCAGAGTAGGGGAGTCCCGGAGGGCGCAACCACCAAGCGCCCGCCTCTGCTCCCTCACAAACTGCCATGGTGGTGGCGGCGGCAGTGGTGGGGGTGCAATTTGGCACCCCTGAGGGCCGGCGCGCCCTAGGTGAGCCCCTAGCTCGCCTAGCGGGCGAGCCGGCCCTGACTACAGAGCCCTTAGAGTTGAACTCAGTGGCATTGAATGTGGTGTGAAAGGTATGGCTCAAGACACTACCGGTTTTTTTTTAACACTGATCCTTGTATACAAATTGAATCCTACAAAGTTTTATTCACGGGATAAGCTTTTCCGTGCAAGCACACTTCCTCAGATAAGGATTTAGGACTCGTGTTTCTGTATAATTAGTGGGTCCCCCTACTAGGCTGATCGTCATAACTTTTTTTTGGGGGGTGTATTTTTTTTATATGTGAGTGTGTGCACCTGGAAGTCATGGCGACCACTGGTGGCTGATCCCTCTGGGGGCCTGGAGGATATTCAGAGAGGGGGCTGAACAAAGGCTGCCCCTGCCTCTCTCCTCAGATATTTCAAGGAGGTCTCCCATACAAGTACTTGCCAGAGCCAACCCTGCTTAGCTTCTGAGATCTGACCAGATCAGGCTTCCTTGGTCTATCCAGGTTAGGGATAGGCTGATCATCATAACTGGATGGGTTTATGCATATTCTTGCAGGCAGAAGCCTATCTGGGGGATCTGTTTGTGGCATTATTGTGTGCTACAACCAACACTTTTAAAAGGGCCAGTTCATACAAAGGCTCCTAAGTAAGCTCAAAAATCACGGGATAAAAGGACAAGTCCTTTTGTGGATCAAAAACTGGCTAATTAATAGGAAACAGAGAGTGAGTAAAAATGAGAAATTTTCTCAGTGGGGGGTGGTAAGCAGTGGGGTACTGCAGGGCTCAGTACTTGGTCCGATGCTTTTTAACTTGTTCATTAATGATTTGGAGTTGGGAGTAAACAGTGAAGTGGCTAAATTTGCGGATGATACGAAGTTGTTCAGGGTGGTGAAAACCAGGGAGAATTGTGAGGCAGTCCAAAGGGATCTGTCGAGGATGGGCGAGTGGGCGTCAACATGAGAAATGGGATTCAATGTGGCCAAGTGCAAGGTGATGCACATTGGAGCCAAAAATCTTAACTATAAATACACGTTGATGGGGTCTGAACTGGCAGAGACTGACCAAGAGAGAGATCTTAGAGTCGTAGTAGATAACTCACTGAAAATGTTGAGACAGTGTGTGACTGCTGTAAAAAAGACCAATGCTATGCTGGGGATTATTAGGAAGGGTATTGAAAACAGATCAGCCAATATCATAATGCCCCTATATAAATCACTGGTGTGACCTCATTTGGAATACTGTGTACAGTTTTGGTCACCACACCTTAAAAAGGATATTATAGCTTTGGAAAAAGTGCAGAAAAGGGCAACTCGAATGATAAAAGGGAACACTTTCCCTATGAAGAAAGGTTAAAACGCTTGAGGCTCTTTAGCTTGGAGAAATGATGGCTGAGGGGTGACATGATCGAGATTTATAAGATTATGCATGGGATAGAGCAGGTAGAGAAAGAGGTACTTTTCTCCCTTTCTCACAATACACGAACTCATGGGCACTCAATGAAATTGCTGAGCAGTCGGGTTAGAACAGATAAAAGGAAGTACTTCTTCACCCAAAGAGTGATTAACACATGGAAATAATTGCCACAGGAAGTGGTGGCGGCTACAAGCATGGATGGCTTCTAGAGGGAATTAGATAAGCATATGGAGCACAGGTCCATCGGTAGCTATTCGCCACAAGGTATAGATAGGAACTCCAGGGCAAGTGATGCTCTGTATTCTTGGTGCTGGGGGGGGGGACAACAGTGGGAGGGCCTCTAGTGTCCTGGCCCCACTGCTGGACCTCCTGATGACACCTGGTATTTTTGGCCACTGTGTGACAGAGTGTTGGACTGGATGGGCCTTTGGCCTGATCCAACATTTGCTTCTCTTATGTTCTTAAACATTTGAGATGAATATTGCTATGGACTGGTGTAATACTGGAGCAAGAACAGTTAAAGAGCAATGTGTAATTCCCTCCTTGAGCAGCTGAAAATGGTAACTCGCTTTCATGGAAATCAATATCCAGAGTATTCTTCACTGATTATTTGACATCGTTAATGTAGCTAGCTAATATAGATGCCAATCAACAAAAAAGGAATGAAATAGCCAGTTGCTAGAAAACTGAGGGTTAATCTGCTTCCCTACCAAAATTTTAGTTTGGGAGAACTGCCACACCTCAGTAAACAGGTAGTTTTTGGCTTGAGTTTTGTTCCTGAGACCTGCCACAAAGTACTATTCTGTGCTTGTAGGCCTACCAAAAACCTCTAGGGTTTGTCACTCCCTGACCTGTCAAAACCAGATGGATTCTGGGGCACTCCTTGGCCTGCTTTAGGTTCCATTCTTTGACCTGGCTCTGCCTCTAGCCCATATTCAAATACCATTTCCCCCCCTGTTTCCAGGCTTGGCACCTCTAGCTGCTAAAATGCACAAATTACCCTGGATCCCTTGAGCATTAGCTCAAAGAAGTGTTTTATTTATACATGGGAAATAGGTAGCATTTGAACTTCTTGGGATGGATACAGTGCTGCTGCTGCTCTCTTCCTTTTTTCCTCTAAGAAATTCAGAAATTGTTTCCTGTTCTCTTATGGATGGCCCGTCCTTTCTCAGCATTCATGAATCAGTTATAAATTGTCAATTCTTCTTTGTGGGGAAGAGAAATGGGGCTCTAACTACTGGGATGTTTTTTTAAAAAAACTTTGTAGCCAGCCAAACTCACTGGTCATTTAATATTTTTTTTTTGTAATAGCACAATTACGAAATAATACTGCAAACTAAAATTTAAAAATAAGCGGTGTCTTTGTCTGTCTACACGATGAGTATTTAATTCCTAAGCTTTGAAGAGTGTAACTCTGTTTAGGATTGTTCTATAAATCTTAGAGAGAGCCAGTTTGGTATGGCTAGGAGAGCAGACTCTAATCTGGGAGAACTGGGTTTGATTCCCTACTCCTCCATAGGCAGCTGGTGGTGTGACCTTGTGTCAGTTACAAGTTCATTCAGAGCTGTTCTCGAAAGAGCAGTTATTGAAAGAGCTCTCTCAGCCCTACCTACCTCACAGGGTGTCTGTTGTGGGGAGGGGAAGGGAAAGGAGAATCCTTCGAGTAGTGGAGGGCGGGGTATAAATCCAATCTCCTCCTCCTCCTCTCCTAGTCCATCAAACAAAAATGCCAAGATACAGGAAGTAATTAAGGTAGAAGGAGAAGGGATGGAAGAAATGTTAAGGAAACAGAAGCCCTGAGAAACTTCATTTGACTATCCATACAAGATAATTTGGGACTGCATTTGATTTTTAAATTTTAAAAGTTGCCACAGATCAGATTATTAACTACAACATGTAACAGGTTACCAGTGATACCACATGAATTGTTCATGAAAACTGCATGGACAAATAATAGGAACTCTAAATTAAATGGCTAGTATGAAACCATCCTCTGCTGTAGAATCATGTGTCAAATGTTTATGCACAATTGCACTTGAACACACTGTCTGAGAAGTCAGGTCCTGTATTTTCTCCCAAATTGATAGGATTAAATTCATTGGGAGTATCCAAGGTCACTAAGAGCTAAGATCTAGTTTTAAGTAGCTTAAGAATTCTCCGGACTCTGAAATAGATGACCTCTGAATAACAACATTTCACTGATGCTAAAAGCAGAGTTCCTAAGCTTTGGGGGTAAATTAAGGACCCTATGCTTGCTGTAGGCACTGGGCTCACACGCAAAGACATGTATATGTTGCAGCACAAGGTAATCTCATGTTTTAAGGAAAAACACAAGCAGTCAATGTTCTTCTGTATCAATTACATGCTTTTATTTGTCATATTGAAAATATTTGCAATGATAGGATTTTAAAATCCCATTTTCTGCTTTGACTTTATATTATCATTGGTCTAAACATACTCTCTCAGAAATTACGTTGCATTTGAAAGTGCAGATGTGTGTGTGTGTGTGTGTGTGTGTGTGTGTGGATGAGAGACTAGCATTTCTCTTTCAAAACCCCCGAGCTTTCAAAAGCTCTCATGAAGAGCTGTTATACATGAAATGCTTCTACTGTGTAAAACTAAAGCACAATCTGGAAAACACAATAAAGTCCCAGATATTTCAGAGGGAGAACTAAGCACATGTGTACGTATCTTCCACAGAGTAACAGTGTAATATTATGCAGAGTTGCTACAGTCTAAACATGTTGGTGTAATTCTGAATAGGATTGCACTGTAAAGGGCTTAGCTCTATACTAGAACTTGCCTTGTATTAGCAAGATATTTAGGGCAAAACTAGATGTCTCTTTTTATTTATTGAGCCCCTTCTCTCCCCATACCATAGTCCCAGTCTGAATCAGGCCTCTGTGGTGCTTAGGAAAGTCATTCTGCTTAGCTGCCATCTGTCTGTCTGTGCAGAATGTGAATTGGGCCAGGAGAACCCAGACCTGACTCAAAAAAAAGTAATGCCTAGTTTGGCTCTGAGCTGAATAATCCCAGCTAGCTCAGTCTCGTCACATCTCAGAAGGTTACCAAGGTCAGGCCTGGTCAGGATTTGGATGGGAGACCAAGGA